GCTTCGTGTGCAGTTACGAAACGAATTACCCAACGGTGGTTCAATTCAGAGGCGAATGAAAGGTTAGCAGATAGTTCACATCTACAGGGTAAGTTCAACATCACACCGATTCTCCGAGGTGCACATACAGGTATGAATCTTGCATATGTAGTTGGGCATCCAGTCGAGGATGACGAAGCTCTGGCTAGCCTTGGGGTTACTCGCGTGAGCTTGCTGTCGTCTCGCGTTGCGCGGCCATTAAAATCTTTCACAACTCTTCAGGTCACTCCTATTCGTAGGGCGAATACCAACAGAACAGGTGACCACTCGTGAAGTTGAGAGTATGCTGGTTAAGTCATTTATGTCCTTAGATGCTGTCCAGGAGGAGTTGCCTGGCAGTAGTGATACTTCTGTGGTTGAGACAACTCGTTTGCCGAGTCCGCGGGTGGTCACCGGAGCTGCTGCTCAGAGCGCAAGTAAGCGTTGATTCGGCACCTCGTCACGGATCTAGTTGTGTTCCATCGTAGCATCGATGCTCTGTTCAGATTCATCTAAAGGTTGATATCATATAACTGGTCTATCATGAAAACATGATTATTGTGTGGTCGTGAATAAAGCTTCTGATTTGACCTGATGTTTTGTTCGGGAGTCCGGCACAGGCGACTATTCCTCACATGCTTTGACGACCCACCGATCACAGCTGAGAAAATACCCAGGAAATTACCACCAACAGTCACTGCTCAGCGTCCACTGAGATGTTCGAAACTAAAGTCTTGCTCGAACGTGACTGTGATGAGTCGAGTTTCAGTGAGTTTGTCAAGTTAACTCAATCTCAAAGACTTCAACATCTGAATGGCTCAACTTTTTTCTCGCCACCAACATGGGCCCTCGAAGAACTGACTACAACAAAACACCTTAAAATGCAGTCCTTTGACTGAAGCTATGAAATATGACTGAAAAGATGATAGCAAAGTTAGTTGTCTAATGACGATTCGGACCCGCCCGTGAGGGTCAAGTTAGTGCGGTTCTTGAAGTAACAGATCATTTGATGGAAACGATCGGTCAGAAGGGCCTCATTCCGCCGCAAGAGAGATGATCACCCGGAGCCACGTTGAAGTAGCTAGTGAAGTTCTTGTAATATTCTATGCGATTCAAAGCCCTGGGATCGTTGGGGTTAGAGCACTCCAAACCACCATTGATGATGAGGGTAGTCACCCCGAAACCTGGATAGCGCCCCCCAGCTTTATCTCTGGCAGTGGGCTGCCATTTCCCAACGACGATATCATGAGTCACAACTGAGGACAACTGATCACAACTGAGGAAATATTTGCTCAGTTATTAGTTCCTTCTGATGTATAAAACTGATGACCTCATTGAACAGTCTGTGTTTGGCTGTCCGTCAGTGAGTTCGTTAAGTTTACACAAAGTGAAGAACTCAAATATCGGTGATTGGATGGTTTGTCTCTCTCTCACCCCCGAAGATCTGACTGAAACGAAACACGCCGATTCTTGAGCGCAGTTGACTCGGACAGAAAATCGGCA